GTGTATTTTTCTATACATTTCTACAATAGAAATATACTGATGATGATGAGAAAAATTTGTAAAAAAAAATGCAATTCACAACCTAGGATAGGGTGTGTTTAATTTTAGCACATTTTTACAAAATGAGTTAGTAATTCAATGTATGTATCCATAAATAAAAGCTCATAACCTTTTCAAAATATTATTGCATAGATTTTAACTTGGGTGTGATCTTTTGCACAATAAGACCGACTGTGAGACCGGCAATGAAAATATTAGAAAGAAGCCGCTGCTGGTTCCCTCACATTTGCAAATCGTTTACTAGGGTCACTTGGGAATATGGAATTGGTTGTAACTTTTATTTCATAGTTTGCCAGGGATAGGGTTAGAAGACGTTTTATTATTTCAGATGTCTCCGCGGGAAACATTGCCCGCGAGCTACAGGTTCGGCGGGTCTGCAGTGGTCTGTATAACCCCCTGGCCAATTTACGACAGAGAAGTGATTGTCAAAATGTGGTACTATTTCCTGTGGAGGCGCACAAAGTTAACATGTGCACACCGGTCTCCCTCCAATCGTGTGGCGGGCGGAAAGTGTCTGCCCCTCCTCTTTGTTTTCATCAGGATCGTTCTTGTGCGAGACAGAATATAGACCTCTCATACACACTTCAAGTTACGGTTTGTTCCATGTAACAAATACACAATTTGAAGGATTAGACGCAGTGCGGTAACAGCCAACCTGCATGTAGTTATACCCACACGATAGTAAGTACACATTTGAAGTAAATAAAATGTACAGAGAGATTATAAATTATATTTTATGAATTTATTCTAAAAAAAAGTAAGCTGTGCACTGTAAGAAAATGTGTAGGCCAGGGAAATGATTTGGTAGATACGGACCAACAGTGTGGCCCTGTAGGTCCCCGGATCGAACTCAGATTTTTTTAAAGATTTTTAACGAGACTATATCCCTCCACATCTCAAAATATCGATGAACTGAAGATACTTGTGAATCAGCTGACATGAAAAATTCCATCGTTTAGTCTAGTACTGCATGATGTGTTGACAGCTGCCTTGTTACCTATACTATAGTAGCAGCCAACACATTGCGCGCTTCAAGGTCACGTCGAAATCAGTTATACGACATAATACGAACAGCGGAGTCGAGGTGACTAATGACAGCTCTTATATCGCAATACAACGCGTCACTGTCGAAGTACTTCCGTGTGGCCTTGAAGTATGCAATATGGTGGCGGCTGCTATAATCACTGAAAATAAAACACAACATGAATAATATCAATAACATTCTGTTGTCGCACGGATACAGTGATACCAGAATAACTCTGACGAACTGTACTGTTCTAATCGATATTCTCATGCCACTCATTTTCTGAACTTTTAATGGTTAAAAGTGGAGTAGCACTTACCACGGTGACATTGGCATACAATTTACCACTGAATTGATGACATGGAAACTTACCAGCCTGTTTATTAGTTCCAGCATATTGCTCGTTTCGTAATACTGTCAAAACATCCCAATATACACAAAGAGCCACGCCTACAGTTTTAATATGGTGCATGAACGTTAGTTTAAATCGATCCATCACCATTGTGTCCATGTGTCACCTACACCAGCCACGGTCCCGCCCCCTCTAGCTCATGCAAAACACCCACACACACATGAAGAATGAATTGGTGCAGACTCATATACAAACAGCGGGTTACCTTATGGCGTATTTCTGAAACGACTGGGAACTGTGAACTATTGGCTGTATTGATTTCTGTATATCATTGTGCAAACGAATCACAATTTTCCAACCAAATATCTCGTTGTCAGTTCCTCCTGTGGTTGTTACTAGTGGTGAAGCCGACACCTCTGCCCATGAACATGGGACCTATCCAGATTAGTATTTAATGTTCCTAAATCTCGCTATGAAAGGCAGCGTATAGTTTACATTGCTTCTGCATAATTTTATGTAAAGTTTTTGTTAAACGTAACGAATTTAAAAGTGGCAATTGAAATGAGGTTTGTGGGACCAGTTTCGGAGCACAGGTAAAGGGCTGTAGGAACTTCGAAACAAGACAGCAATTACATACTTCGGTACAAAATGAAATCAGAGACAGGTTAGCCCCAATGTAAGACTCTCCCAGCGCCACTCTCGTTGCTAGGCCGCTGATCAAGCGAGTTGTGCAGGTGCGGACATGGTGTATTCACGGGCAGAACGTGTGTTCATTATCAGATATTAATTCTCTTATCGTTTGCTGCTGGTCGTGAAGGATTTAGCGAAGCGTATTCTTGCAAGGAAGTACAGAATACGACTAAATTAGACCGACTTGTAAGAACATTTCGTGGATGATTGTCTTCTAGAAAGTGGTGGACATCTGCTGTAAAACTGTTCCTTAATTTGTACCTAACAAAGGAAGAAGGGGGAATAAAGCACATGGAACACTGCGTAACAAAAGTGTAATTTAGCGTGAACACAATAAAAGGATGACAAATAAATTACTTAACCATTACACTTGAGCCAACAGATGGGAATGTTACTTCAGTTTAAATTTAGAGTACCTTGTACAAAACTGTGCGTTTCGCCTACGTTATTTGCTTGTGGGTAGAGGGAAAATTAACGCATAGACCTATACGTATCACGTAATTCAAATACGTTACTGACATGTCAACTGAAACAGCGAGCTACAAAGTACTGCCGATGGGAATTGAGTGATTCCTTGTATGAAGTGCCTGATTTCTTATCTGCTACCCCCACCTTTCTCAATATTTTTCTATCTACTTCTAACTGGCATCGAACGCACAGATTCGCCACGACTATTTATTTTATTATTTATTTAGTGTTCTGTCTGACGACAGGTCCATATGAACAGGATCCTTGCATCCTTTTCTCGGACTGGGACCTGTTCATATACGTTCTTGGCAGATGATCCAGAAGTGGTTTGCCATTGCCTTCTTCTGTGTGTGAATGGAGTAATTGTTGAGATGCCACGGAGGAAAACTCCGTGTTGCCTAGACCACGGCCTTGCCCAACACAAGTTATAAATTCGGGCACCGCCGGGAATCGAACCCGAGATTCCAGGATTACAAGGCCAGCGTTCTAACCGCTAGACCACTGTACATTAATTACCACTTTTTACATTTTAACGAATCGGCCTATTTAAATTGTCTTAATAATCCCAACAATTGTTACAAATTAAATTCAGTAAATTAGTTCTGTTTTTTTATGAATACGTTGATAATTGTTGCCACAGTATTCACCTTTCAGTATTTGAACTCAAAGCTACCATACAAACTTCCCATGTTGTTTTATTACCACTTTTAAACAGGGAGCTTAATTTCTTTAACAGCTTGCATGCTTTCATCCGTGCTGATGTATCAAAGGGCGTACTAGAGTGTATTGAAACGATGTGAGCATTAATCCATGATGATTAATAGGGCTTCTTTTCCAGAGGCTCGCACGATTTAACGTAGCTGTAGCAGTGTTCAGTTTAATGTCCTTTTAAACATTTATCTAAAGACAATAAGCTATTGCTACTATTAGCAGAATCAAATATGGGCATTATAATCTCCCAGAGAGGTCTGTATTCATCTCATGAGACAGAAATAATTAACAGGGAATATTATTACCGTAAATAAAACAAATGCATTGCCTGGTCCTGTTATCCATAACTGTGCACCCAAACACGATTAAACGCCATAAACACCAACAAATCTTGAACAGCAACTAAATGATACCGATGGAATCATTCTGTACTGGTAGCGAACCACAGCTTCTTGGACCGTGGTTTCGCTTTCTGCTACCTTGGCTATTCTTGTTTATATGGCACGTACAGAGTTAGTTATATAGGAACACCAGACAAAGAAAATATCCTCCCCCATCCCCAGTTTGGAATCGGGATAACTTTTTCCCCGCCCAACTATCTCCATAGAATTTACTTTTTCTTGAGAGGTTAATACCGAACTAGCACAGCTAATGAAGAAATTTACACATTTATAGAACCGGAAGGTTTATTACAATGTTCAAACTTCTCGTCATCGGGCTCTATCCTGAGCCAGATAAATAAAGTCTACAACTTACATAGTATTTATTTAAGATTCATTTTAATATTATACTCCCATCTACGCCTAAATTTTCCAAAGGGAGTCCTCGTTTCGGATTTCTGATTGGAGCCTTATGCATTTTGTTATGTTCAGCAGAAACCATTTAGTCTCTAATTCTGCCGATCTGCGTTTGGCAGAGACGGACATGATGCATGATCAATCTCGTGCTATGATTAGTCCAGTTGATGCATAAAGATACAATTGTTCCTGCGTTATTGAAGGATGCAACTGGAATCAATGATGCAGAAATCCCCTTGTTTTACCACGTCAGTCAAAAGGGTTAAAGGATTATCGGTCTGTCATAGGGGTGATGTGTGTTCATTTACGGTCCGGCTGTCATTGCCCTCAGCAGACCGAAGGGTGTATGTAGCGCCACGACAGCGTAGAATCAGATTCATGTACTAAGGAAACTAAACCCATTATATTTTTCGTCTTTAGTGTGGAGGAGGATGTTGAGAATATTTGGACCTAAGAGTGAGGAACTAATAAGAGGCTGGAGAAAACTGTAGATTGGCGACCCTTGTTGCTAGGCCGCTGATCTCGCCAGTTGCGCGGACAAATGGTCATAGAGTGACAAAACAGCTGAAATGGCGGCTGTAGTCATTCGAAGCGGTGCATCATTTGCCTTCAACAGCGGGTTATGGATGCAGTATTGACATTGGTTGCCTTTTGTGCGTGAAAGGGTATCATACATAGATACGTAGCAACTTGGGCTGTGTTTTGAATGAAACACCTGTTGTTACAAGCTTGTAAAAACTTGTTTTGCATTGGCTGTGGTCACGTTGACTCATAGGTTATTATACGTCAGTATCTGCAGCGGTTATTCCAGTCCCAGACCCGGTCTGGGCACAGAGGCTAGAAGAAAAGAAACCTCTGCCCCTGCCGGGGATCGAACCCCAGTCCAGTCCCTGGTTAGATACGAGACTGGTAAGTAAAATACTTTTGAAAATATTAAGCGGCAAAGTTGCTGAAAATTGGTTATTGTGTGGTGTGTACCTAAACTTACAGAGAATTACACACATGAAATATCGTCATTGTCGTCACTCTTATTTTTGGGGGTCTGAAATATTTCTGGATGGTTTTGACATTGACAGTAATGTATGACGTGAAATGACAATTCAGGAACATAAAAAGACCCTCAAATTTATATTGTTCACGAAGGTTATGCGTGGAATAAATCTTATGTTTTCAGTTCGATTGACAGTGACTATCATAACACTGGCTACTATACTAACAAAATGAATTTTATGAAGCAATAAATAAGAACAATTAACATATTTAGCATTTATTATATATTGGTGATTTACTGAAATTACACTTAGCACGTTTGATCACGTATCGCCTACACGTGGAGCGTGAACTGATTTTGTTTGTGATTTATAGTTATTTTCTTTATTACAACAGATTTGGACTTGATGCCGTCTTATTGTTTTAGAATACTAGACTATCATAAATATTGTAATTTTGTAAGCAACGACCAAAATAAAAAATTGTACTCCAGCGATTTATGTTAAATGTAAAGTGTACTGAGTACCGTTGGCTAAATTGTGTCAAAATCATCGAAATTGTAGACGCGGATAATAGACGGGAAAGAAAACTACGAAAAGTGTAAGAGGTATGTTGTGCATGGAAATATTAGATAAAGATAAATATTAACTACAGACCTGTGTCTTGATTAAATAGGGAGAGATATTGGTTCGGTATTCTGTAATATTTTTATGGTAAAAAATGTGGTCTTGAATGATGTGCATGCTTTTGTAAGAAAAATATTAGAATGATGGACGGCTTTATTCATTATTTATTTATTAAAGACTTAGCTGCAGCTGAACAATTTAATTGAATATGTGTATATCTGTGCAATAGGAGATTAGGCTTTATCAGTTATGTCCTAATCTCTGTTACTTTCTGTGTTTGAATTAGGCTCAGTGTCTGTTTTTCGTTGCAGTGGCCTGTTCCCATGGAAACGACAGGGAAACGTGGGAAGTCCCTCTTCTACCCCAAGTCCAGGGTTAAGGCCTCAGTCCCTGGTTAGATACGAGACTGGTAAGTAAAATACTTTTGAAAATATTAAGCGGCAAAGTTGCTGAAAATTGGTTATTGTGTGGTGTGTACCTAAACTTACAGAGAATTACACACATGAAATATCGTCATTGTCGTCACTCTTATTTTTGGGGGTCTGAAATATTTCTGGATGGTTTTGACATTGACAGTAATGTATGACGTGAAATGACAATTCAGGAACATAAAAAGACCCTCAAATTTATATTGTTCACGAAGGTTATGCGTGGAATAAATCTTATGTTTTCAGTTCGATTGACAGTGACTATCATAACACTGGCTACTATACTAACAAAATGAATTTTATGAAGCAATAAATAAGAACAATTAACATATTTAGCATTTATTATATATTGGTGATTTACTGAAATTACACTTAGCACGTTTGATCACGTATCGCCTACACGTGGAGCGTGAACTGATTTTGTTTGTGATTTATAGTTATTTTCTTTATTACAACAGATTTGGACTTGATGCCGTCTTATTGTTTTAGAATACTAGACTATCATAAATATTGTAATTTTGTAAGCAACGACCAAAATAAAAAATTGTACTCCAGCGATTTATGTTAAATGTAAAGTGTACTGAGTACCGTTGGCTAAATTGTGTCAAAATCATCGAAATTGTAGACGCGGATAATAGACGGGAAAGAAAACTACGAAAAGTGTAAGAGGTATGTTGTGCATGGAAATATTAGATAAAGATAAATATTAACTACAGACCTGTGTCTTGATTAAATAGGGAGAGATATTGGTTCGGTATTCTGTAATATTTTTATGGTAAAAAATGTGGTCTTGAATGATGTGCATGCTTTTGTAAGAAAAATATTAGAATGATGGACGGCTTTATTCATTATTTATTTATTAAAGACTTAGCTGCAGCTGAACAATTTAATTGAATATGTGTATATCTGTGCAATAGGAGATTAGGCTTTATCAGTTATGTCCTAATCTCTGTTACTTTCTGTGTTTGAATTAGGCTCAGTGTCTGTTTTTCGTTGCAGTGGCCTGTTCCCATGGAAACGACAGGGAAACGTGGGAAGTCCCTCTTCTACCCCAAGTCCAGGGTTAAGGCCTCCCACGCCAGAAGGTTCTCGTACCGCCCCTGCCACGGTAAGTCTTTTTTACTTTGATTTTAACATTTCACTGAATAATGAATCTTAAAGATATTTGTGAAATACATTCGAGAAAATTATTTATTTGTTATTTAACGTCGTGTCTTCTCAATTCATATATAGACCATTTGTCCCTCGAAGAAAAACTTAACTGGGTAATTAATATGATATTATATTAAATAATCCACTACCGCTTAAATCCACTTTCATTGAAGATTACCGTTATCACAGTCATGTAACATTTAACATAACCTAACCTGTGCGCTGGAAAATGCGTTGTTAAATAACCCAATACTCGGTTAACCGGTTCGTAATTAGTGACGCATTTATGCTGATTCTGATATAAAATATTTGCTCGCAGACAGTATGTCTTGGTTGACATGGAGGCTGAAATCTTGGGAGTCACGCCACCACGAAGCGACGTGTGACAGCAGTAACTTGATGGGAATTTATGAAAGTAATTTGTTTCCGTGGGGGTGAGAACTTCGCAATAACAAAATTACAAAACCAACAAAAAACATGAAACTATAGAACCCCATGCATTAAAGCAGGAATTAAGTAAAACAAGTTTAGATGTGACCTGTTTGGACTCTTATACAGTCACAGCGATATTGTGTTTATTAATCCAATCTAATTGTATTGGACTGCAACCATTAATAAATATTTTATTGTGGATTGCGTGACTTTTAGATCACCTGTACTTTGGCATTCGGTACTGAAAAGATACATCTGCGCATGCAGTTTCTCGGAAATCCGATACAGTGCGTCCAGACAGCGCAGTATCTTGGGGTGACCGTTCTAACACCAGGTTTAACTGGTCAGCGCGTGTCAGCCAGGTAGGATAAAGGGCAGAAAAACCATTGCGCGTGCTTGGGCCCCCTCCTTTACAGGAGAAGCGGCCTCTTCGTCAGAAAACGTGTGCACCTCTACAAACAGCTCATCCGCTCTATGATGGGTTATGCACGCCTGATCTGGAGGTCAGCTGCTGAAGCCAAGTTCAGAAGCTGAAAGTGCAATAATCCAAGTGCCATCGAATTGCGACTATCGCGCCTTGGTACAGTGGTAAGGAAATTCACGAGGATTTGGGGATTCCATTCTTCGCCGACCACATCAGAGCACTAAAAGTTAGCTCATGCGGGAAACCCCCTTAGTTCGACAACTTGGAAGAACATTGAACTGCAGCCGCGAAAAACTATGGACAAGAATTCATACATAATACTATTTTCATTTGTCAGTTTCTTTCGAAATGTGGTAATATTGATACACAATTGAAACAATTTTGATTTGTACATTCTACATATTTTCCAGCCGTCCCCTAAAGTACTTTGCGTTGTTACTGATTACTGAACTAATTCTGTCTACATTAGGTTTCAGTATTTAACGTAGGAACTTCTTAATTAGACTAACAGAAATATGGTAGTAACGGAAATCATAAGCCAGTATTTCAGAATCAATAACGAGGTCCTAATGTTATATTATGTAGGCGTCGCTTTGAAGTGAAGTTTTCAGTTTTACGTAGCAGCGAGAGACCTTGTTTATTCTGTACTGGCGAACGAACAGATGAGAAACGTTACCTACTGTTATATTTAACATTTGTCGTCCTGACTTTCCAGCCAATAACCGATTCTTGCCCAAGTAGGGAATAGGATGTTGCTTATAACTAGTAGGCTAGTAGGTTATTTAGTATCTACTGCAGTTCTAGAACTACCGAAGGTTGAAAGAATATTATTCGTTTTGAAACTATCTGTCGTGTTCAAATCGATTATTTGAGCACCATTAAAATATTTAAAAGTATATGCTATAATATTTCAACCTTCATACGATTTCTGCACTATCAGTCCTTATTAGAGAATAAGATACCCGATTTATTTATGGTCGTTATAGAAATGCAAATGGGATTATTTGAACTCAGATGAAATTATTTCGGCAGGTATTGACGTGTTAGCGCAAAAATTATAATAATGTCCATACGGTAATCGACACCGGCCATTCAGTTCATAACTGACTTGATATGTTATTGACCAGAATCCACTGTGTAGCATTGACCTTACATTCCAGTATTGTTTTTGATACCAGTTTCATTTGCAATTTTTTTCGGGTGAGAGTTTCCACATTTCGTTTGATCCATGGTTATCAGTTAGGATATCTGCTAGTGTCACTACCGCTGATGTAGCGTGAAGACGCCTTTGGAATTCCAGTGCAGAGTTGGATACGCGTACAGTGTTGTTACTGTTACACAGTTACACGTAACGTTAAATTGATTTACACACAGGCCGAACATTGCTAATTGCCGCCACTTCGTTTCCATAGCTCCACGGCTCACACTTCCGTTGCTGTATTACTCGGGCGGAAATGGTATTGTGATCATCATCAGAGATGCTGGTGGAAGGGGAATTCGTTGTACCGACAGCGCTGTCTGTGTGTTAACCGGGACAGTTATCCATTCCTGATTAGGACGCAGTGTACTACGATAGATCGACATTACTTACTAATAAAATATTTGCGTGTTTTTTTACTTCTTTTGTTCATTTGAGGGTTGTTTAGCAATATGGTGTAGTGTTCGTTTTAACTACGCTGAATGAAGTGCGGAGATAATGTATGATGTAACGTCGAACGACATACGATAGGATGACGATGAACAGCAATGAGAGGGCGAGAGAGGGAGTGGTTGTGACGTAATTTTCCAGCACCATCACTTTAAAAGCCTTTGTTTCTGGGCAAACAAGATTTGCTTATTAATGTTTTGAATTAACAGTACTTCTAGACTGTGAAACTCTAAAATACTGAAGATGTCTTCTGGGTTGTTGCGATGTATAGTCTAGTAGAAGTTCACCGACGTTTTAGAGGTGCTATCTCCATCGTCAGGGCCATATGGGAGGAAGGAGGAAGTAGGCACCTCTGAATCGGCGGTAAAATTCTGTCAGATTACACTGCTCGATATACTAGAAGACATTCAAACTAGCCACTGTGAGAATCTGAAATATCGAGAGTGGATTACTGTGTTATGGAATTGTTGCTGAAGAAATGGATTCCTGAAACTTCGATACTACATAGTAATTTTGCTACTGCTTAAGCAAAGTGAACAGATACCAATAAAATTATTGGCATGTGACATTAATGTATTTTGCATAGCAGCGTTTAAAGAAGACTAGTTTATTTTACGTTATGACTACACGAAGTTACATTACGCATTCTTTATGTGTACATTCAAGATTAAATACTTATGGGGACGAGTGTGAATGAAAGTAATTTGCCTCATATGTGCCGTTAATACCCACATTGTTTTTATAAGTATTTGATGTAATTGTCTCGTAAGGATGGCAAAATTTCATTTTATGTTTTGAATATTGTTGATTTGCGATTTTAAATTTTTATAATATTATTATGTTAGTTGTAAGGGTGATAACTGGTTCAAGATCGCTTATTAGCGATGTTGAAATTTCAGGTTCTACTACCGGACAGTTAAGTAGATTCTTAGCTTAACTCAAGTAGAAGTTTAATTTAAGGTAGCATGCTATACCGGCATTAAATAATTAAAACAACGGATGTTATTAGGCAGGTTAAAGAAGCTGATCTGAACTATGTATCTTCATTTTACCTAGAAAGCTAGTACATCTTTAATAAAAATATCAAAGCGTTAATACGGTAAATGTTGATACTCAGATATCAGGTATTGTAAGCCCACGTTGTGGACAGTTTAAATCAGAAAATGGTTTAGCCTGGCATGAATGGTTCACGTCATCTGCTTTGTCATTATTATAATTTACCCCTTTAATTGATACACCTGTTCAATATTAATGTTAATTTCCAATGAATTTGCTAGGTTTTTTTAATTTATTCGATCAAGTTAGTGCGTTACCATATATCCATGGGCTCTCCAGTCATAGGCAACAACAGCCCTCTGTTTACTCGGCTACCCTGTCCTGGGCTGCTTATTTTATTAATGACCAAGTGAATGAATTAATAATGGGCAGGAACTCTCGCAAGCTGTATAGTTAAGTAATTTTAACTAGCGTAGTAATTATACAAATGAACATCTGACTTAATTATGAAACAGTTTTTAATCATAGAAACATCGTTGCCATCTTATGAAAAACTGTTTAACTAGGACACCGGGAATGTTTAACCAAAACTGCAGAACTTTTTCACGTTTGCATGAGTATCGTTTCTTTTAAGCTGAATTGCATCCGATTTTCACAGGTTCTCGTTCTCTCTCTCTCTCTCTCTCTCTCTCTCTCGCTCACTCACTCACTCACCCCGCTAGTCTTGCAGCAATGTCCCGTCAGAACGCCCTTATCTTCACAGGGCAGCAATACAGATAAAAACTTGGACACATGCATGGAGTGGAATTTGAACCCACGATTCCAGAGTTCGAACATCCAAGACGCACACCTTCCTTCTAAGTATCGATGGTCATAAAACTTCGCTGTTAAATCGTGAAATGAAACAACTCGATCTAATACGATTTGGATTTTCCTGATCGTTTTGAACGTCAGTTTTGAATTGATGTATTGTTAAATTAATTCACTTAAATGCGTTGGAGCACAAATACCATTACGAGCTTGTTGCTGTCCTCAGCAAATTATTTGTTTGGTGGTTAGATATGTTACCGCAGGATGAAATGTAGGGAATATTTTACTGCACTCTCTTGACCTCGTCAGGGGGTTTAATTTACTAATTAATTTGTTCATTAGTTGTAATTGTTTTGCGACGATGTGTCACGAAATATATTCGCAGCGGTGAAAACTTCTCGCTTGTGAAGTTCGCTTCTCAGACACGGAACCAGATATGTGTGTGAAGTTCCTCTCGGTCCTTCTAAGCGAATTACATTATGATACCTTGAAATAAAGCTCAAACATTATTTTGCCTCGTTACTTCTACTCGCCGTAGATTATCTTATTCGTAGTTAAAATAACCTATTAAGTAAGTTGATGGGGAGATCTCTCAATAACGATGCATTGAATTATGGATGTTATAATGATAAAGATGATGATTGTGGTGGCGGTGAGCTAGAATTGGCTACGTAACCTCCCTGTGGTGGTCATGATTATGACTGTTGTACGGGAGTGGCTGTAGATGCTGACCGGCATCTACCTTGATGGAGTGAGAAAAATCACCAAGACCCTCAGACGAAATTTTCTGTTACGGCAGAATATTAATCATTTTCTTATTGTCTTTCGCTTTAGAAATTGTAATAACGTTTAAAGACGTAATGGAGATACGTTCTTTGATCGTTGGCAGTTGCCTGTGTTTGTTTATGGGAGACTTACTGCCTGGTCCTTAGAAAAGAAATTGGCACTTGTTGTGTTAATTGCTTAGCTCTTTTGTCCAGTCAATGGACAATTTATACTTTTGCTTTTCCATACAACTGCATGGCGTGGTGCTTAGAAGCACCAGGTACTTTTCCATTTATAATCAGAGTGTAAGCTTTGAAGCCGGTTTGGTGCGGCAACTTCTCTGACGTGGATGTTATGCGTATAGTCTGAACACAGTGTTGAAGGCGGCTGACTGTATGTGATTTCAGCAAGTCACTTCATAACCCGCAGTGTTCTCTCGTTTCATTTTAAATCAGTGACTTTTTATTTATTATGATGTCTCTTGTGTTTGATGTGTTGTTTGTAATAAGTGCGTAATATGAAAGTATAATGGTAATACAGTGTCTTTGTCAGTCTGCCTTCCTATCCGTCTTACAAATAACGTACTCGTGATATGATTTCCGATTATGTCTCGTGTTGATCAGTAATCATTAGAATTTTGGGGTATATTTTAAATCGCCATTCTAAATTTCCGATCATTATTTTCATCGAACTGAATACTAAATGTGTATTTCGCATGGATAATCAAGACTACAGTATTGAAAGTAAGAAACATGGGATGCCAGTTAAGTCCAACTTTGCTTACTTGCAGTTAATCTTGCATAAACTTTCTACGAGAATTGTGTATGTATGTGGTTAATCAGCCTACACACCTGGGATGAACAAGAGGGTTTACTGTACTTAATGCGAGTTAATCGCAGTACTCCATCAGGGACTCGGACCACGCGTAGAATTGTCCACTTGCTTAATAATTTATTGTTTATCGTCGTGGGAATGAGATTCTTCTTCCTTGAACTAGGTCATGTACGCTTAATGTGAACTGATGCTGCTATGCTTCGCCCACATATCGATCGCATTACCTTCCAAGGACGGTCACAAACAAATGAGGCTAATGGATAACCGCATCATATGTTCCTTGCCCCTAATCGAAGAAAATATAACATGGAATACTTGTGTGGCTAGAGTGAAACCGATGTAGTTTTCATGACTTCTCGAGAATTTTGATCCAGCACAGTTCTTCGGTGAAGCTGTGGGATTTTTTTCTCTCCGTTGACTTTTTGCGTTGACATATTGATGATAATTTTTAGATTGAGTGGCAATGCCGATGTGTATTATCTAACCTGAAATAACTTGCAGAAATTTTTAAAATTGTAAAGAGATACTGAATTTTATGTTTACCGTTGTACAAGACTTAAAGTAAAGCTGTCCCGCTACACGCCTTGAAGGCGTTTGGGAGGAGCTAAGGCATAGCTCCTACTAATTCTTGACCTCGACGCTAGATGGGGCGAGTAGTCAGCGTCACTCCCCGGCAGAACTTTAACCCGGAGAAATTACCTGTTAGCTAGATTAGGTTAGGTGAGCTCAGAGACGATCTCGACACGTAGTCTAGAAGAAAAATTCTTAACTCCTGCCGGTGATAGAACCCCCGTCGTCCAGTGAAAACACTGAGCTACCCCAACTTGGACAAGAGAGTATGATTTCAATATTTTTCATAATTTCAAAGCATGGTGATCACTATATGTACCACCTGTATAACACAACGCAACATTATTAATCATTTGATTTTTGTAATGGAGACGCGTTGTTTTCTTTGAGGTACGAACTGAATTTGTAAATATTACGCTTCAAGAGATTAAATAACATATAGACAAACAAAAATTCTATAACGTTCTTCTGGGTTTTGGCGCCAAGAAGATCATCTTTCTCTCTGCCAATGAGACCTCGAATCTTAAATAAGTTACTCTAGACTGGCGGAAGAGTTTTAAGAGAAACAGAAATTGCAAGTTTGACGCTCATTCGCTAAAATTAGCTGTGTTTTGTTCCATTTGAAGATGAACGACACAAGAAGACATTCTTTGTGAAGATTATTTTCATTGCATCTGCAGATGAACTACCTGTAGCAAAGATAAATTTTGTTTTTAGATCCATGCAAAATAAGGGCTGTACTAGACCGATATGGACATAAATGAAATGTCAAAAGAAATCTGCATATGTGATATGCATCAATGACACATTCAGTTGATGGTGATGATAACAGAAAAATGGCTCAAGTGGGATTTAATTGTGTGCCCAATTGTATTTCATGGCTAGATTATAATGAAATTATAACATTAACAAACACAGGATCTGTTGGACTAGAAGTCTCTGCAATATAAAATTAGTCTTCAGGACGTGTATGTGGAAATATTTATATTAAAGCACAAGTGAAAGAATTTTCCCCATGCTGATGAAGAAATTATGTATTATGTTTGCAGCCAGTAAGAGAACACTTGTCAGGTGGACAGGACACAACCCAGTATCGACGATCTCCAGGCCTGTCCAAGTCAGTCCGACACGCCAAGCTCTCCAATACGCCTCTCGATGACCAGGTCACCAGCAGATCTGACTGGGACATTAGAAGGTGGGGCAGCCTAGGGTTATATCAGTGGCACATGAACCCAAGGACTGAAGAGTACTACTACAATACCACAGCTAAAGTCTATTGCTCTGCACGCCATCTTCAGAACTAAATCCAAACAAAATTGGCACATGTCACATGTTAGCTATATAAATCCACAGACATTTTATTCAGATGTTAAACCTGGAATTTTAAAATATTCATTCCAATTTTAAAGCATTTTACAAAAAGAAAAGTATTGTAGTTTATTTTGTGTGTGTAGAAATTTTTGAATGTTTGGATTGTTCTCTGAGACAATGATATGGGTTGGATTCCCGATCTTTAGTCCTACAGACGTAATTAATTATGCCAATCATCATATTTCTCATGATTGGAGACAACTCTGATTCTCCAGTACAAAGGTGGGTATTCTGAGAATGCTGCATTTGATTCAGTAGCATAGGCCTATTAGTGTTTGGTCATAGTAGTTTTGCAGAATTGTACCCAGTCACATGGCAAATAAAAGTTGAAACCTCCTGCACCTACAGATGAACTTCGTTCTTGTCAAAACTCAGAATTCTGTAGAGGATTTACACTTTTTTTTCGTGTCAAGTACACACCATTCAGCATGGTGTGCATTGGTGGTTAGCAGGATTCACGACCCATCAGTACATGGGTTCGACCGGGACCGCGACATTTAACGCTCCTGCTGTGACCCCCTTTTCGTGAGATGATGATGAAAGTGGAGTAATTGTTGGGATGCCACGGAGAAACCGGGGAAACCCCGGAGGAAATCTCCGTGATGCCTGGACCACGGCCTTGCCCAACACATGTTATAAATCTGAGCACCGCCGGGAATCGAACCCGGGACCCCAGTATTACAAGTCCAGCGTTTTAATCCGTAGACCACACTTTCAAATGAAATATGTTAAATGTCTGCTTGTTCCAAAATCACCATTTCACAGGATGCGTGCGTCTGCCTTCATTATTAATACTAGATGTTGTTTATCGTAATTTACCACCTTAAATAAATTGCTCTTTACTAACTTGAGGAAGACAAGGGCCAAACTTCGGAAACTCAACCCACATTGACACAGCAGAACAAACCTAACACTCGACACTGCCTTACCTCAAGGACCACTCAATCACATTGGAACCAGTTAATATGAGCAAACATTAAAGGACTGTTGTAGCTATGAAATTATTTCGTCTAATGTTTATCCTGTTTAAATCTGACACATGATACGTGACCAGTGTAACGGTTTGGAATGTTTCACGTAGGACACATGAATTTAAAAGGAATAAAAGTATTTTAAATTTATATGAAACAATACTGGAAATATTTATTCAGTGTTATGTTTTTGTATATATATCTCTGTGTGTGTGTGAGTGCTGGCATGAATGCATTTATGTATGTGGGCATGAATCGTGCGTACATATGTTCCACTGTACAAAACTCCTATTCAGGACCAAATTAAATGTGTAATGCATAATTTTAATCATGTTCTTCACACTTACGAAATAATTTTTTTCATTTGAAAGAAAATGTATAGTACAAGATCATGAAGTGAAATAAACGTAAGGTAATTGTTACATATTTGGAATCCAGATACGAATTTCAGTTGGACTGCATTATTTTTACAAAATTGTGCTGGTGGTTGGTTAATCTTATAGCATGCCTTGTTATATTAATTTCTTCCTTTTTTCTTTCCAATCATTCCTCTTCACACTGCATGGGAGCAAACAATTTGTTGTGGCAATGGAGAGTCAACTGTAAGTGAAATCATAGATTAGGAGGTACGTGTGTATTGACAGGATTCAAGGACACTTTTCTTCTCGTGGTCATCTGGAACTGACCTTCATGAAAGGGCGGTTCCCAAGTTCACGCTTTCACAGCTCCTCTTTAATATATATAAAAATAAATAGTTGCTTTTGTAATTTTTAACTTGTAACAATTCTAAAACCTAATAAAATTTTGGTGATTATGTCTGTACTGTTTGTAAATGACTAGAGATATAAATTCCTTCCTTGTATATAATCACCCCAGGAATATACATCCTTCACGAAAATATCTGCCAATATGAATGTTGTTGTCAAAATGCAACATAAATAGACCATTAGAATTAAATAAGAAAGAAATTAATCTGAAATCAGTGAAAAACATTAAACTTTTTGTGACGTAAATCAGTGCTTAATTCTGTTAAATCAAGACAGTGTTTCTATTTGCAGTACTAAGGTTTCTGCCAATTCTTTGTTACCGAAATGGGGAAGGCTTAGATGCAAAAATGCGACATATTTACCGTCAACGTCAACTATCCCCCTTCTAAGAATATTTTACAGGTTCAGAATTGTTTGCTAGTTACAAGCTTAAGTCATTCTTACAATATAATCCACGCTTTTCTCATTTACGTGTACAAACCTCTTAAATAATTATAATAAAATCCAAACAAATAACTACCAGAAAACCTTAACTTTCATATAGTTTCATAAACTTTTATTAATTCTTCCCTGCCTGAACTTGATAACTAGAATAATCTACAAATTTAATCCAGAAAGCAATTCGCATTTCCGGTGTCGGGACACTTTCACATTCCACATCACACCAACTATCCACGGTCTGGACAGGACCTGAACCCGGGACCACAACCATGCTGCGTCATCATCGAAGGATGTAATTTTATAATGGTAAAAGTACAGATAGTTTAGAGTAATCTATGCTAGCAGTGTGTATGAATGGAAGCCTACAGTTTAATTGTCTTCACAAAATTTCTGTGGGAATAGATTTCTTGTGGAAGAATGTATGCGGGGCATTTCGACTACTTGAGTGGGCCACGACACTTTCATGAAGTTCCCTTGCGTCAATCTGAATATTAGAGAGCAAACATGTTCAGGATATATTATTGTATATGTCTTAAAGGCTTTTATATTCCACAGTGACCATTTCGCAAGACGTGATATACAGACGACAAACGGAAAGTGGTCTTGGATCTCGCAGATATTTATTTTTATTACTGGATTTAACTGCAGAGTCTCTTAATTGCAAAAAGCTGAACCAAACCATAAAAATGAAGTTGGTAATATTATTTTTAAATGCATGAGGTGTCAGCTTTAATTTGCCATGCAGCTATAGTCATTTATGTGTATCATAGTAAAGAAAAATGGCTGCTGATTTCTTTTAACGTGTTATGGAATTATACAGAAGTGATTTTGCTACTGATAAGTTTGTTGTATTTATACTTGAATTTCCCCTTATTAGGGCATGGTCACATGCTAGCTCCGACAAGGAACCATTGGGATCATCAAGTTACCTGCCATCACGAGCGACTCAACCCCTTCTCACCCATCCCAGACTTACTGATGACAAAGATTTCTCACAATCACAACGCAATATCTCAGGTGAGGTAACAATTATTGTACATGTGATTAATCCACAGTTTACCTTAAAAGACTGTCTCTCTCGGTTCTGTATTGTGTTCACGAGCCTGAGAACTATTATAAAGTTTGCATGGTTTTTATACCTATCATTAGAAATGTTACCAGCACTTGTTGGCTGCCTGAACTTTTACCTTCTTCTTCTTCTATGGCTCTCCGGTCCGTATTCGGTCCATGGCCTCAATTCTCCTCTTTGATTCGGTCCTCTGTTAGGTCCGTCTGTCCGAGGCTTTGATCGAGGTTTCGAAACATCTTCCTTTTTACAGTGCAAGGTTGTTAGCCTTGCGACCAACCCCCAACCTGGAGGACCAGTGTACCTATCTTAGTCTGACCTCTCCCCCCTCGACCAATCTGGCTAGGGAGGCCCTACCAGTAGCTCTTGGGGTCACTGAGGTATTCAAGCTCCACCACCATGACATGGTGCAAGTACCATTAAGTGGGACCTGAACTTTTATCATGTAGCAATAATTTGAATTCTGGTAAATATAAAAGATCACTTTACATCTGTATGAAGTCATTGTTACAGGTAATTAATAACCAGGATACTTATTCAAAAATAAGCTTTATTCTTTTATTTAATTAAAAAGGTCAGTAGTTACTTATAAATTATCAGATGTGGTAACATCATTAAGACATTGGGGTTTAGCTGAATCATTCCAAAATGAAACACTTTTTCTATCAAACGTTTTATTTATCCTATTCTGGTGGTGACATTGTATAGAAGTTAGCTGTATTTCCATTGTTTTTGAGATCTTACTCTCTCCATCTTCAATTAGAAGTGACTACCCTATGGCCCTTGTCTTCAAGATGGAGAGACATTTAAGGTTTCCGAAACATAAAGAGCGCAGCCCACTTCTTTGTCGCACCATCATCCAGAAACAGGATCATCATCAACACTGGGCCACTGTGAAGGCCTGAAATCATTTAGGAGGATATTTTTCCCCTTCAAAAATAACTGGTTAAAGTCCTAAGAATTTTAGTATATTAATGATATTTCTTAGAATATAATAGTGATATTTGTTTTAACATTAATATATTGATTTATACTACTGAGATGAAGCGGGCTGGCATGTTTCTAATGCATTGAGATGTACTTGAGAAGTTTTCCGTTTGAATTTCAATTTACATCCTGAACGTATATCACTTGGGGTTCCAACCACGTGTGCTAGCAAAGGGACACTTAAATTAGATAGAATAACTTACAGACTTAGAAAAATAATCCGGTTTTCCACACACAATAATAATGTTACTGAAACAATTAATTTCCATAGGGAGTGCATCAGAAAGTGTTCTTCAGAAGTTCCGTAAGAGTTTTGCTCTGAAGTTCCACAAAAAGAGTGGAAGCAAGGAAGGGAGTGAAGGTGGGGAAGATGTGATGGATGAACAGCCTCTTGGTGAAGAGGAGACAGCGAGGCTGCAGGGCACCGAGTCACCTCCTCCTCCACCGCCACCCCAACCAGGCAAAGAAGATGTAGGAGCCTCAGACTCGAAGTTCAAGTGAGTTAGTAACAATATGTATAGTGTTCCAGGACAGAGCATGTCACCCATTTAATATTACCTCTTATTCCTTGCTTTTTTTCCCCCCGTAGGTTTGGTCCTTTGGTTTGGAGATCCAGCAAAGAGCGTAAGAAGGGGAAGAAAGCTGCAAGAAATGCCAAATGCAATAGTGGTGACAGTGGCATACAAATAGAGGTACATTTTGTATTTATTATTGCAGTGTCTCTGTAAAACAAATTACATAACCTCAAACCAGTTAGATTATTTGTGGTATTGAGTTAAGACTTCATTGCTGTCCTGCTAGCTCTCTCCTTAGAACAAAAGTTTGTGTCGTATGTTAGTTCAAATTGTATTACCCAACTGAATTCTCATGTGTGCTGTTATGCCATGGAGTTTTATCACTGAAAGAAAGTCTGTGATGTGAACTTTGAATTCATACTTGTAGCCTAGCAGAATGGCGTGGCGTCATATCCTGTGCCTGGAATGATTGATTCTTCTTCTTTATCACACCGTCTCCTTTACAGGAGGTTGGCGACATATTATGAACAGGATCCTTCCGTCTTTTTCTCGGACTGGGACCTATTCATATATGTTTTTTAGGCAGGTGATAACAGAAGTGGTTTGCCATTGCCTTCTTCTGCGTAATTGTAGGGATGCCACGGAGGAAAACTCCGTGTTGCCTAGACCACGGCCTTACCCAACACAAGTTATAAATTCGGGCACCGCCGGGAATCGAACCCGGGACCCCGCCAGCGTTCTAACCACTAGACCACCTTGGCGGTCGTAATGACTGATTAAAACGATGAAAATATCAAATAGGATAGCCAGTCTCTCACATTAATGAAAAATCTCCACAGCTAGAAATTTCCCCTCTTAATCAATATTAAGTGTCTGTATCTTGCCTTACTAATTAAGATAAATCAAATCGTATTATCTGAAATTCTACTCTGAAACTTACCTGTAGGAAGAAGAAGTAGTTATATGTTTTTTTAAACATTCCAGATGGCTTCAGGATCAACTCATATTGCTGGTGGTGATAGCTCTGAATCTCATGATACAGATCATCAAGTGGATGATGAACCACTGGATGAAATGGACAGTCCTCCTGCTGTAAGTAAACAACGAAGTCAGTCATGTTTACAAAACCTGACTACCAACTGAGAAAAAGTATAAATTGATCAGACTCATAGCTGACCTTAAAAGTTATCATTTTATGGTTAGCTTTAGTCACCTGATTAAGAAATTATACAAATTGAATAGAACATTTAAACTAATTATTGCACCGTTGGCCCATCACGGGCAGCTGCTGTGTGATCTTTCTCATAAATTTTGGATTTCTATTCTGATATAGCCAATTATAATTTCATCTTCATTCATACAGTCGCCTATTGTATATAGGTGAGGAGGAGAGTTACGACAGACAAGACGTCACGACCGCAATCTGAAGTCATCAACCAAATATTAATTGAGAAATTTAAGGTAAGGACTATACTAAAATTTATTCAGGCAATATTTTCCTTATTTTATTCCTGCCTACCCAAATCATACAGCTATATTTTGAAATGTTATGTGCTAACTCATGTGTGAATGTATTTGGGTACAGTGAAGTGGTTAAATATTTTTAGTATTCAGACCATGACATTTATCTATAATGAAAACTGTTTTTTCAACACTGTTGTGAAGACAGTAATGACTCTGTAGGTTACACAAAAGGCAGAGAATTTCTTAACTAGCTGAGCTACAGTTTCTCAAGGACTCTGATCCATGCATTTGGTTGGTCATAGTAAATACAATAAATACAGGCAGCTGATGATCGTCTTCATTCGTACACTGTTACCAACTCTAATTCCCCCCCCCACTTATGCTTCCTGCCTGTTGTGTATTTTAAGACACTGCACCCCTTTTCATTGTGTCACTAGCCAGTGGTGCAAGACATAATGATCTCAATAAGCTAGAACAATATAAGTTTCAGTTATGATAAATATTTTCTTGAATTCTGTCAGTTTATTCACATGTGATTGCTTCATGTTGGGGCTCTGTGTGTGTGGGTTGTTATTGTTGTTATTTTTTTCAGTCATCTTTCTTTTATGCCAATATTTCTCAAATTCGATATGTGCATAGACAAAAATATCCTCAGCGGTGCAAGCCGTGTCCCTTCACGCCCTTAAAGAATAGAAATAAGACATGGGTGCAAATTTTAGTGTGTAAAAATTATTAAATATTTTTGACTTTGCTACTTGTGCATAAGTCACGTGGATTTCAAAGATGTGAGAAAAAAGAATGTCATGTTTGTTACTTTGTGTGTCCACTTGTTGAAATATAATAAAACCTTACATGCATCTGTATAGATAGTGTTCCCGGAATTAAATTTTAAATTAGAACTCTGTATTACTTATAATATAAATAGCACGTATAAAATGTTAAAGATTATTTCTGACCAACAGTATTCAAGTTTGACCTAATTCTGCGTCTGTCTCTAAAATATTTTCCTGCTGGCAATATTTAACATAAATTTAAGGTTTAATAAAACTTTTTACCAGGTTTTTTTCCCATCCTTTTGCCTCATTGTAATAGGTCGGTTCTTGCAGAGAGCTTTGCGACATCCTGCCATGCTCAACCGCATTAAAAAGTTTACAATTACGGCACATACCATAAGAATATGACTTTAATTCATCTTTATTCCAATTAATCTGGACATTAACAAAACATGTGTCCAGTAACTTAATGTACACTTGTCACCTGAAGCACCTGAGTTTGATTCTTGTTTGGTCCTTATGGAGTTTGTATTAGGTAAATTTGTACTTCGTCAAATATTTATATATCCCATTTCCCTTAAAGATTATATAATTTTCTGTAATGCAACTTTCATACTACACGATGTTGGTGATTAATGTAACGTAGTATCACCGCGTGTTATCATCGGAACGCCTTCTTCCCTATTGCTGTGAAACAGCAGTTATGAAGTGAGTGTTTTAGACTGTCTAATCAAATTAACTAGATACTCTGAATTGGACAGTGAAGTTTGAACTTCAAATGTACAGAGCAAATAAATAATAAGTATCAGATGCTGGCCATACCACAGTAGAACACTGCAGTAGTCTCACACACAGCTTGGACTGACAAATCAGCCTGTTGATATGAGAATCGTTGATAAGCAGACTGAAGTTGGAAGGAAATGTTCTTACAGGAAATGATGTCACAGTACCAGCAGTTTGGTCTTTCATCTGTATACATTTTATGACAAGACTCATTTTCGTATGGCAACTAACTTCTTGCATTCAAGTGACGTACTGATGTGAAGTGAATAAAACATATATAAAGACAAAAATTTTTTTTGAAGGGAAATGTAGGTGATCGTGATTATTTACTGTGTGTGGAAGAATGGTTTGCAAGTGAAACTGATTTGTTCTGTGGTGTCAGATTGACTGTATAAGAATGCAAAAAATTCTTTTGTATTGCACTTACACAGTTTTGTAAAAATAAAAGAGTTTTCCTATTTGTTTTTAATCCTGAAAGTTTAAAAGAAAGTGTGATAGTTTTAATGTTGTTTTAAAACCAACTAATTCCGGCACTGAGAAAGTTAAACTCATCGTATATTCGTATGTATTAAAATATCTCACCAACAGAAGAACAGAAAGACTCATTACTTTCATTAATATCACTGCAAGCGAGATGTGTGGTAATAGATGTGAAATATTTCCAGGTGAGTTTTAAAATGTCCGTGTTGACAGTTCATGTCATTGATTCTTGTGCTGTAATCTGTCATGGCCATATTTATAAATGCAGTGTTTCCTTAACACAAAGGCCATAGCTATATTAACTACAGAGTTATTACTACATTGCTGTCATGTCTCCGTAAGATGTACACTGGAGATTTTAATATTTATTGCAGGCTGATCTACAGACCCGTGTTCAGAATCGTCATCAGCATGTAAGGCGAACACATTCCGATCTTGGTGGCCAGAGGCTTTTTAATTGGGACGTGCGCAACAGCTATCGACGCATGTTCTCTACTCCTTCACCTATCAAGATGCGTCCTCCACGCACTAGTCCACCACGTTCTACTAATACTGATACAGTTACTCTAAGAAGGTAAGTAACTTTGTAAGATTTGAGGTTTTCACAGTGGTGAGTATGAGGATTTCTGTCTTATGGGTTGTTGCGCTGTGTAGTCTGGTCGATGTTAACCAACATTTCATCGCCCTGATGACGGAGGCAGTATGACCTCTAAAACGTTGGTTAACATTGACCAGACTACACAGCGCAACAACCCAGAAGACAGAAATCTTCGTAAGTAACTTTCTTCAAATTATTGATTTTGCCGTATACATATCTTGCTACGTGAATACTTTATAACGTATGAGTTCTGTCACATAAGGACATTTGTGCCATCAACAGTCTCGGGTTTGAAAACACTTATTCTGAAGAAAATATTACATGTGCAATACCTGTGGGTTTGTGTTTAGTGTATGTATCATACTTTTGTTACTATTCATGACAGGCTGCCATTGTTTCATTTTAATTCCACTTTTGTGCTTTCAATTCAGCTCTAAACGACGAACGAGGCGTCCTCAGTTACGAAGATCCATCAGTCAGCCACTTGGACTAAATGAGCTGTCGCCTCTGATGCGTCGGAAACCAGGTGGTGGTATGCCGGCGAACACAGTACTCAGTGAAGATGAACACGATGGTCGAGGTGGTACAGGCACATCTGATGATGACATGATGTCAGATTCAGAGTCATCCATTACCTCACTCACTGATAGAAAGAAGTCATTTGAACAGGCAAGTGACAAAGTTATCAAAACTATGTAATCTACTTTAGCTTATACTGAAGTACGCATGTCATAGAAATAACATGTGAAGGGATAACTATTAAGACACTTTTTTGTTTGTGATGATTATTATTTAATTTAATTTATTCAAGTGCTTGAGAACAGCCAAACAAGGCTAATTATGTCCAACCATGAAAGGAAACAAAAAAATTTAATCATAATCTTCATATAGAATTGAGTGATAAGGGTTATTAATAAAAAAATAATTGGAAAGGATGTGGAAGGAAGTGGCTTTGACTTAATATATGGTACTGTCCCAGCATTTATTTGGAAAATCATAAAAAACCTGTCATGATAGCCAGTTACCAGGCAGATATTTGTACCCAGAACTTCCCAACTACAATGCAGTAATTTAACACGTGAAACTTCGCAGCATAGCAGTTGCAGAACACTACTCTAGTATCAAATGTTTTTGTGTCAGTATTTTAAATGATATTATCATTCAATAGATAAAGGTTTAGGAGCATTGCTGTAACAAATTAATGTAGGAAATATAATTTACATTTTATTATCTGCTGGTGAACAGGCAATGGATGAGGATGTCACAATTCTGGCAGAAGCAGTGTGGGACCATGTTGCCATGGAGCCTGAGGAGCTGGCATTCCGTGCTGGAGATGTCATTGAGGTGCTCGATACAATGGACCGAGATTGGTGGTGGGGTTCAAGATGTGAAGAGAGTGGCTGGTTTCCTGCAGCATTTGTTAGGGTCAGTCTACAGTGTGTTTAGTAACATATTTAACAAATACATGTTTCTTCCTTGCTGTGAAGTGATAATTATGGAGGGGTAGAAGCTGTGTGAAGTTATGTTTGTATGTGGAAACTGCATTTCTTTTTCTCAGTGCACTATTCATTCAGATAATATAATTTTCCTTTGATCAAAAATGTTAA